TTGCTCTGGATTAGGCTTTGGTGTAAGGGAGTATTGTGGCTGGTTCGATTTTCTGTCCAGACCACTAGAACTTTCTCCATATCAGCAGTAAGGCTGGTTTGCTTTCTTATCATTTATATGTTCAGTGGAGTAGCACTTTTAATTTCCTTCAAGAACTTTTCCTTTGCATTCACAACTTGGCTAACTGGCAGAACAGGCCTAGCTTTCAGCCTCTTTTGGCTTTCAGCATGCCTTCCTTACTAAGCTTATTATTTTCTAGCTTTTGATTTAAAGAGAGATGTGTGACTCTTCCTTTATTTGAACACTTAAAGGCCAATGTAAGCTTATTAATTGGCCGAATTTCAATATTGTTGTGTTTTAGCGAATAGGGAGGCCTGAGGAGAGAGAGATGGGGGAATGGCCAGTAGGTGGAGCAGTCAGAACACAGAAACATTTAACAATTAAGTTCACTGTCTGATGTGGGTGTGGTTTGTGGCACCCCAAAGTAATTACAACAGTAGCATCAAAGATCACTGATCACAGATCACCATACAAATACAAAAGGGATGAAAAAGTTTGAAATATTGCAAAAGTTAGCAAAACGTGGCACAGAGTGAGCAAACGACACTGTTGGAAAAAATGGCCCCAATAGACTTGCTTGATGCAAGATTGTCATAAATCAATTTGTGAAAAATGCAAAATCTTCGAAGCACAATAAAATGAGGTAAACCTCTGTTGTGCAGGAGGGAGGCTCTGCTCTAGAGAAGTTTCATGGCATGAGTTCACCATGGTCAGCTTTTGTTCATTAGCCATGATCAAAAATTGACATCATCTGGTAGATAACACTTTCCTGAGTACAGAAAATACTTTTATTTTCAAGTTAAATCCACTTTTATTGTCATACATTATGTGGACTCAATGTAAGAGGTGAAGAATGTGAATTTAAAATGATATATTCAGATAGAAAATAAAAGCAAGGCCCAAGACAAAAAGTAGTTTCCTCATCAATAAAATGGAAATAATATTATCTACTTCATACAGTTATTATTTGTTTAAATATATGCAGATCTTCTTAAAATTAATTAGATGGCTCAGTGGTCAATTCTATTGTATATATTAATGCTGTCACATACGTTCATTTTTTTTTCAATTCTAACGCTGATTTGTTATTCAATGATATTTGACGAGATAGAAATGATTTTCTTTTTCATATGAAATTTTTATACATACAAAGAGTATTATCTATCATATATGTAAAGTATAAAGAAAAGAATAAAACATACATCATGCATCCACCACTCAGCTGAAGAAAACATTTCCAGTCCTTTGAGGGCTAGACTTGGAAAAAGTTCATTATCAGCCTGAAGAAAAATATGTATTCTCTCATTGTGAGTACAATAAATATTGTACTTACCAAGTTTAACAATTTAGTCCCCTGGGCAGATAGATATATACATATATGAATTTGTTGATTGCGTTGTTCAGATCTCCTCTATCATTTTTGATATGTTTGGTCTGTCAGTTACAGAGGGAGAGGTAAGTAAAATATCTTACAATGAAGGTGGATTTCTCTGTCCTAGTAATTTTATCAATTTTTTGACTTAATATATGCACTCAAGTTTAGAATTGTCATGTACAACATGAAGTGAAACCCTTTTTAATAGTAGGCTGTCTTCTTTAGCTCTGGTGAAGCTTTTACCTTAAATAGTATACCAGTTTATTATTGGTATTGTTAATCTTTTCCTGGCATATTTTTTCAACTGTTTATTTCAAACATTCTGCGCCTGTGTAGTTTGGTTATAACTCCTGAACCTCTCTTAACTGAATTTTAAAAATCTCACCTGATGATCTCTGTCTCTCAATGACTCTAACTGTCCATTCTGCTCGCTGTGACTCCTGACGCGCGGGGTTGCTTCTGCCATCGCAGACCACAGCCTCTACCTCTAATTGTCCTGCTTCCTATGTGTCTGTCTGTTTCAATTTTTGTCTTCTTCAGATTGATTTTTTTTTTTTCTCATTCCATGTTTTTCCCCTCTACCGGTTTGGCTATTATATGCTCTATTTCAGTTACTTTTGGTGGCTACTTATTTAAAATTTTATTTTCAGTCACATACACAAAAGTTAAAACAGAGCCTCAGCACATGTCGTTAGGGCAGCTGTTGGCTTCAGAGCTGCTGCCTCCCTGAATCACTTCCCCTGTGTCATTTTTCCCCTTTGAGGATTTCCATACTTTTTCCCAACTCAAACATGAATTAAAAGTTATTCTTTTAAATATTTTTTCCAATATGTGTGGCAGTAGAATTTTTCAGGATATTTAGTCCTCAGTATGGACTTGTTTGTAAATCTATTTGTTTATTTATTTATTCAAATGGACATATGTATTGGTTACTGTTAAGGAGATATATGTCTTCACTCTCTTGCTAAACTGTGCTTTCTAGTTCAATTTACTGTGTGGTAGAAGAGAGGCTTCATTTACAGAAATAGTAATAATATATGGTAAACAAAAACAAAAGCGAAGTAGCCTATGAAGAACCAAATAAAATGCTGTGAGATGGCAATACAGTCAGATTTCATTTCAGTGGTCAGTGTCCTGCACGCATGTATTGTATCAGCGTTTCCTGAAATAGATGGCCTTTTGATTGGGCCCTATAGGGTGGATAAATGTCTTATATTTGAATTTAACAAAGCAAAGATACTTTGAATTTCAAACCAATGTATCTTAATATAAAGCATATACTTTCAGGAGTTGTCAAACTGTTCCACTAGCCTACCATCTGTTTTGGTAATAAAGTTTTATTGTAATATAGTCACATTTATTATTATGCATATTTCTATGCTACAATAGTGGAGTTGAGAAATTGCAAGAGAGATTATGTGGTCTGCAAATTCTAAAATATTTACAATCTGGCCTCTTACCATAAAGTTTGTCAACACCCATACTAAATCATGTTCTATATTTCAAAGTAAGTTTATAGGGAAACTTTTTCTTTAGCCTATCTTTCTCCTCATTTATACTTACTTAAGTCTGATTTGGTGGTTCTCACAATAAATACTAATTCATGGACGCCCCATATGCTTAGAGTTTATTTCTGTTTCTTTGATTTGAGATATTTCCTTACTCCCACTCCTTAATAATTATTTTCTTTAATAGAAGCTTTAAGATTTTCAGTGCTATTTTGTGTGCTTACTTTTTATATAATAGATAACCACAGTTCTTTTTTACCAACTTGATCCTAGATTAATGGTGTTCAAACTATAAAAATGTAATGTGTCCAGTACGTCAATAAATTGATCAAATATTCTTGTATTTATTAAAAACATATCACTATACCTTTCTACGAACTGAAATTAGCTAGTCTTTAAATTGGGAAGGTTTCAGGTTCTAAACTACTTTACCTGCTAATGCAAGTATATTTGCTTTAATTATGGGAATTAAATAGGAAAAAGGTATCGATGGGCAAAGCAGGAAAGGGATTTTAGAATTTTAAAGGTGATCAGTAAACTTCTTAAAAGCTATCAATGTTAAAAAGGAAATATAATTAAATCTCTGCACTTCAACTGCAGTACTTAAACTTAACTTACTTGGTTCTGTTTCCAGGGAGTACCAGTTGCCCCCAGTTACGTTAGATGTGGTGCATCGAGCTAAGTGCCTGAATTTAACAATAGCATGTGTGTACTGTGTCTAAGGAAATACTCACATCCAGCCAACGAGCTCAGACACACAGACACCTTTGATTAGCCACTTCCCAGGAGCTTCTTTTTCAGTGTAATAGCCAATGACTGTTGGCTAGGCCCAGGACGACTCTCAGTTCTCATTTCTAAAACTAAGGCATCCTTTCACTGGGGAGTCACCAGATGTCCTAATGTTCTATAGGAACAGCTAATGGTTTCTACTTGTAGCACTTGAAGATTGAAGGATTTGGACTGATGGGAAGGGGAGAAGACTTGAATCATATTAAATGTAAATATTCTTATGGGAAATCATTTGCCTCAATGACTTTGGTTGACTTACCACCAGTAATTAAACAAAGAGTAGTAGTAATCCTCATACATATAACCTGAAAGATATCCAAGTAAAAGTGGGGTATGTAAAAATCTGAATATTGACAAGGTGTGGTTTAGAACCTTTAATGTGCCTTGGAAGAACTAACAAGCACAAATATAATGTATAAGCTATCATTCTGTATATTATATCAACTACTTGAGGCAAAATAAATGGTCTCTAGAAATGGGGGTGAAGGAAGATATTTCGTGGAACACAGCTTGCCTAGCAATGTGATTTAAAACAGTGTGTGTGTTTTTCCCAAGTATGGATCATGCATAAAAATAGGGGGCCATGGAATCAATTTACTGTGACAGACTTTTAAAAACTAGTAATCAGTATTAAACTTAGAGTAAGGTAGAAAATATCAGAGCACATCATATATAGTTAGGCCAAGTATTTTGTGTAACTTTTGCTTCAGTTGTATGCACACAGGAGTAGAAAGCGTTGAGACCTGGTTGAAATACTTGGAAAGCAGCCTGTCTAAAAGGGGCAGAGGCGGGGAAGGGTGGGTGAATGCCACCCTTGGGAACCAGCAGTGACAGAGAGTCTCCTTACATGCGTGTGGCTGGGCGCTAGGAAGCAAAGCCAGCACCCAGAGAGTAGGTGTTCACTTACCTTTGTAGGTAAGATGAGTGGGGGAAGCTGCTCTGTATGTTTTGCTTTAGTTCAAATAGCGAGGCTTCTGGTCTGTTAGGAAAGAAATGCCCTTTGTCTCCCGTCACTCACACACCGGGCTGCCGCCCTCTCTCTCGCAGGCGGCTGCATCAGCAATTCGAAAGCTACAAGGAACAAGTGAGGAAAATCGGNCAAATGCCCTTTGTCTCCCGTCACTCACTCACCGGGCTGCCGCCCTCTCTCCCTCTCGCAGGCGGCTGCATCAGCAATTCGAAAGCTACAAGGAACAAGTGAGGAAAATCGGGGAAGAAGCGCGGCGCTACCAGGGCGAGCACAAGGACGATGCTCCCACCTGCGGCATCTGCCGGAAAACGAAGTTCGCGGACGGGTGCGGCCACCTCTGCTCCTACTGCCGCACCAAGTTCTGCGCCCGCTGCGGAGGCCGCGTGTCGCTGCGATCCAACAACGTGAGTACCGCGGCGCGGAGGGAAGCCGGGGC